CTATTTTAGCTAGTCTCATTCAACCCAGCTATTCACCTCCTGGGGCTGGGGGTTTAGCTCAGCGGCATAAGCGCCTGCCTTAAAAGCAGGCAGTTGTGAGTTCGATCCCCGGAACCGGTAAAAAATAAATAAATAAATAAAAATAGAAAAACTAAGTCTGCCAGAGACAGAACAGAATACTTGAAGACATTGGTGTAAGCAAAGACTTTATGAATAAAATTTCAATAGCACAGAAACTGGCAAAAGTTGGGGTCTCCTACAAAAAAGCTTTTGCAGTGCAAGACAAACTACCAATGTAGTGTAGAGATATACGACAGTGTAGCAAAAGTTTTTTTGCAAGCTGTTCCCCAGATAAAGGACTACACTATTCAGAATATATACAGAACTAAAAAAAAAAAAAAAAAGGTCAGATGCCAAAATTTAAAGACTAAATCTAAAAGTGGGCATCTGAAAGAAACAGACACTTCTTAGGTGAAGAAGTACAAATGGCAAATACATGAAAAATGTTCAACACCACTGGTCACTGAAGGGATGTAAATAAAGACAATGCTCAGATTCCTTCTTACTTTGAAAAAAATGGCTATTATCAGGAAATCAAACAATAACAAATGCTAGAGGGGCTGTGGGTAAAAAGGAATCCTCCTCCATTGTTGGTGGGTGGGTAAAAGTACTGTGATAATCTGTGTGGAGATTCCTCAAAACCTCGGACTAGATATCCCACTGGACCCAGCTATTTTGCTTCTTCACCTCTTCTCCAAAATAATCAAAAGCACCCTATCACAGTCATATATGCACTTGTATGTTTATAGCAGAACAGTCTGTAGTGGCTAAATATGTAAATTAATGGCTGTTCGGTGTTTCGTCCTGTTCTGTGTTTTGTGTACTAATAACACGCTCAGAGCTAACTTCTGGAAAAGCATATAATGGACATGCAAAAACACCAAATAATGTTTAAAAGGTAAAACTGTAGAAGCAGTTTTGTTACTTGTTATCTAGTGGGTTGAAAGAGAATCTTCCCACTGGATCTGTGAAAAGGGAAAAGAGAACTGACAATGAATTAATCAAAGACAAAGAGGAAATTATATTTGTACAAAGTAGTCTTTTAAAAACCCTTAAATTACCTTTTAAGCAAAACTTTTGTGTTGATTATACTTATATGCATAAAGACTTTGAGTTCTCCAGGTAAAATATTCGTCCACTCTTCTACTATACTCTGAAATATGCATATAAATTAATGGCTGTTCTGAGTCCTAGGATTCATTCCAGAAAATAGAAAAAAAGAACAAGGGGGTTCATTATGAAGGTGTTTCTTTTGCCAGGATGAATAAAAGAAGGTTACACTGGAACACAAATTTGACCAGTGTAAGATCTAAAACAGGTCTATTGGAATTGTAGGAGCCTACTTGTGAATTTGGACTATAACTTAAAATAGTGTCAGAATTTAATGAATGATTAGAGAAAAAGTTCCTGTCCCCAGAGTTGAAGAGTTTCTTCCAGGCACAGAAAGAAACCAAGTACACATCTATTGGAAGAAATGTGGGTAAAATCACTGCTATTTACCTCTCTTTGTGTGTGATAATATATTTTGTCCATGCTTCTCCCATATAGGTAAGTATCTGGCAACTCACCAGAGTTCAGGCTAACAATTTTTCGGGATTTCCACAAAAACCTATGTTCCTCAGAGTGTGTTCTTTATAGTGCTAGAACAAACTATATAAAACCAGGCTTCTGGCCATGAAGTCATACTTCCTTATTGATGCAGACACCTGTTAAATTTTTCATGTTATTTGTGTAAGGTGATGGAGACTTTATCATGTACCAATGGCACTTACTCTTATAAATCAAATGAGTTCACAATTATTACCTGTAAGATTACATAGCACCATATCCAGAAACAGTAAATTATCCTGGAAAAATGTTAACAGTGAAATATTATACAAATTCCATCTGAATATATTCAAAAATATTTGGTCCGCATATTGTACTTTCTTGTCTTTTACACTCTGTACTTTCCTTGGATTACTTTCTTTACAGAACTTACTAAGCCAGCCCAAGAAGACATGGTTTTGGGGAGCATTATCCTGGTGAGTTCACCATAATGCAGTCTATCTGAGCAACAGAAATAATGGATGCAGACTGCTAATGAAGACATATGAAAACTTAATGAACTAAAATTTCCCAGTGGAGTAGACAGTCGACTACAGGAATCTGTTTCTCTATTTGAAGACACAAGTCAGCTTTTGTCCCATTTTAGCTGTGTGAAATAACAATATATCAAATATTTCTATTCAGTGATTCATCATGAACTATTATATCAAATGTAAGTGGAGCTCATAAGGTCATTATGAAGATGAAAGAATCTATTGCATAGTATGTCCTGTACACAAGAACTGCATAACTTTTAAGTTGATAATAGAGTATGGATACAGGCTTGGAAATTAAAGTGCTTGCAGGAGCAGTAAGTGCAGTATAAAAAGGTAGATGATGATCTAAAGGTAAAGCAGTAAGAAGGCTTCCCACCCAAAAGCATAAATTAAAACTAGAAATGGAAATATTTTCCCGTCAACCTTGCACATGCCTGATGTCTTGCATTCTAACTACTAGGGCCCGTGTTTTTTTCACTGGAAATTTCCATCCTATCTCCCTGTCTTGGTCATGTAATCCAAACAGTATGGCCAGAGTCAGGCAACTCTTCATAATAATAATTTTTTAAAAATCGAAACTCTGGAGTAGTTTTTCCTTTTTCCAAATACTGTTCTCAGAATTGACTTCACAGGAAAAAATGATTAGTATAGCATTCAAAAAAGAAAATCTGATGAGTGTCATCGTCTACAGAGGGCTATATGAAGAATGGAAGGAAAGAGCTTACAGGTTCTACTTGAGTGCGAAAGGGAAAAATACCTTTATCAACTGAAAAATTAACTAAAGAGGAAATTACTCAAAAGACATAAAATATAAGCAAACATCATGGCTAAGCCTTGGAATCTTTAAACCTGCTCAATACACATACCTTGATTTATATTTGGGCAAATTTATGTAGCACAAAGACACACAAGAAAATACTAAAGATCTCATGTATGTTACTGAATACATTGTAAATCACTGGCTGTTCACAGTTAGGTTCTCTTTCTGACAGTGCAGTGACTGCTTTGTACCACTAGTGTAAAAAATGAGTAAATTTCAAAATTAAAAGTAAAATTTGCACTCAATAGTTTTTCATTTTCTCTTCATTACTAGAAACATAACTTAGGGCATCATGCACATTAGACAATGTGCATGACAATTTAGAGTTGAGGCTCACGTGCACATATTTATTTCATATTGAAAAAGTATCATGGTCAGTTATCCAGGCTGGGCTTGTGATTTAATATTCCTAAATTTACCACATGTCTGACATTAAACGTGTGTACCAGCATGCCTCAGTGATGTTTTCTTTATGTAAGCATTGTAATCTTGATAAATCATGGTGATTTAAGAACCCCAGTCTTAAATTAGCACGGTAGCAAAAATTCTGTGATTCCAAAAGTCAAAAAGGTGGAAACTATCTAAATTTCACCCAAGCACAGGAACTCAGTGATATCTGATCTTAAAATTAAAAACAAAAAACAAAAAACAAAACAAACAAACAAAAATTGCAGAGCAGGGATATAACTCATACGCACATTTCTAACTTTAGTTCCTATTCAGTGAAAAAGACTAAACAGCTAGAAATATTTTATATCCAAGAAAAATCCTTTTCTATTCTACATCAGTCAAGATGTCCACTGTATTTTAAAATTTAAAACAAGACTAGTTTCCTAATTTCTAATTTTGCCTCAAAAATGTTTACATGAGCTGATCAAGTAGCCACAGAAGAAATATTTATCTGTCATTAAATTCTCCTTTTCTTAGGCATGTGACCTTTGACCCAATCTCAGAACAAGCCAGCATACAATCTTTCATTTACTATCACAGTAAGAACAATTTAATTCCTGGAGAAGATTACTGTTGTAATGGTTGATTTTTGCCACCCTTCAAAATCCCTAGCTCTCCCATTTCGGTTTCAGTCTCATTTGCTCTTGCCAGTTCAAAAAAAAAAAAAAAAATCCTTTTATTCTATTTATTCAGATGCCCACTGATATTAACAGTGAGAATTTACCCCTATTTCAGTACTCACTTTATATCTTGTTCAGTGGTTTAATTTTTAAAACAATGTCTACAAATCATCCACAGACTACAAAGCAACTCGTTCAGAAATAATGCCTCTTTGCCTTTCCAATCATACCAACACCACTTATACACCTGCCTGTAGATGCCGCAGTTGATTGCTTTTAGTGTGGGTTTAACTGGAAGCCTCTTCAGGAAGTTCTCCTTAGCAGGAACACTTTCTCATCCTTTGGTAATACATGAGCATCACCTCCATCTTTCTCAGCATTCTAAACTCTATGGAAGTCCTCACTTAAATAGTCTAACTGTAATGAAATGTTCCTAAGAATAGTTACCTTATAAATTAGATCGCTAGCAAAGGAAGAGCCTGACACAGAGTTGGCAAATGAGCTACTGTGCTAAGAATTAAACTGAAAATAACCAATTACACGACAGAATGCAGCCTCCTCTCCCAAAGGAGTTGGGGCTACTCTACCAAGTGCCCTGATTTCCAGAAACTGAAAATACAAAATACCCGGTGTTTTTTTTTAAAATTCCAGTTTCGATTTAACAGGTGCATGGTAAGGAAATGGGCTACAGTTCGTGCATTTAAAATGCTGTTTTAAATCCAGAGCCCTCTGTGATAGATGTCCAAGAATCACTGAGCATTGCCCGGGCTCTGCTTATCTATAATTAGCTCTGGATTGAGAGGTCCGTGCTACTCACTCAGGTCACTTCTGGAAATCACGGAGGTAGTCTTATTTCCAATAAAATCCTTCCTGACTCCCTTCTTTGGGTTCGCGACCTCATTGCAAAGAGCTGTGAGACCACGAGTCCTGTTTATGCAATAATAATGTTGGAAGTAAAGGTCTCACGTGAGAAACTGAAGCGATGACTTCTCCATCACTGAGGAATGATCCCAGGGTCCTCCAAAATCCCTGCTCACTGCACACCCGGGGAGAGTCACCTCCGCCTGGGCCGCACAGGAAGGGATCGTGGGGCAGCAGTGTCACAGCACAGTGTCTGCATGCTGCGGACCCAGCAATGTCCCTGCCTCGGCAAAGGGGAAACGTTTCAGAGGGCGATGCAGCGCACAAGACCAGGGAGACCTGGGCGCCTGCAGCGAAGCAGGGGGCAGTAAGGATATCGCTACAGCCGTTTCCGAACCACTTCTGTCCATAACGCACCCTACTCCAACTCATCCCTTAGCCCTTCCCGCATTGTCACCATTGCGTGCTTGAGGTCTCCCAGGATCCTTCCAACGCAGCGCACAGCCAGCAGAAATCACAGAAAAAGGCGGTTTGGACTAGTCAGCGTGACCCCCTCATCAAATCAGTCTCAGCACTCAGTGCGGCGCCATGACACCGGAAGTGCCCTCCCCCTCAGCGCACTTGATTGGGTAGTTCAGACAGCCTTCACCGCTGATTGATTCTTGGTCTGTCAATCTGAGACAGTTGATTTGAGAGTGAAAAGCGAAACAAATCTCTTCCAGGAGTGGAGCTAAAATGGTTTTGTTTGATCTTTCTTTCTTTCTCTGTGTCTCTCTCTCTCTCTCTGTCTCTGTCTCTCCCTCTCTGTCTCTGTCTCTCTCTGTCTCTGTCTCTATCTCTGTCTCTCTCTCTCTGTCTCTGTCTGTCTCTCTCTGTCTCTCTGTCTCTGTCTCTCTCTTTCTCTCTCTGTCTCTCTCTGTCTCTGTCTGTCTCTCTCTCTCTCTCTCTCTCTCTCTCTCTCTCTCTCTCTCTGTCTCTCTTGCCTGCCTGCCTGCCTTCCTTCCTTCTTTCTTTTTGAAATAGCCAGGCAACTCAGTCTTTCCTAGAGCTCACTTTTACCTCAGGCTGACCTTCAACTAGCGGGAATCCTTCCTAAGCGTCCCTAGTGTCATTACATGCGTGAGCAAACACGCACAGCTCAAATGATAAATTGGAACTCAGAAAATTCTAAATCACTCTCTTGCTCACAATGTCAGTTTCACTTTCCATGAAGAATGCTTTATTTCTAGCTTTTCAAAGCTCCTTTTTTTTTCTTAATAGACGCAATGTGCTTTTTTTCCTGAAAATGGGTCACAAATGTGCTTAGGCTTCACAAGGTTTCAGAAGGTTTAATCATTTGGAAGAATCAATCCCTAGATGTCATGAATTCAGATCAGTCCAGGACAAAATGGAACAGAGAGAGGGTCACAGAATTGGAAATACAGATCTGTATAGAAATCATGTAGCATGTCTTTGCTCAGTCAATATTTCAATCCTGGAATATTCAGAATATGAAAGAAAGCATCAAGGCAAGTGTATGCGGATCATGTAGCATGTGTTTGCTCTGTCGAATGAAATATTTTTCATCTGTACTATCTGTTCCTGTCACATTTGATGCATCATTCAAGTCTTCATTACAGAATACCCACTGTGCTAGGAACTTGGTATGCCTTTGGGGATGATAGAGATAAGACAGATTCTTTTCTTATATTTCAATATTGTAAACTAAAGCAAGTGAACAGAGACCAAGGGAAATCATAATAGATGTCATGATAAGGGCGGAAATGATAATATCAAATAGTGGATAATTCCTACGAGGGAAGAGTGGAGGCAGAGAGATAAACCAGAGCACAGAAGATACATTAAAGAATCAGAGGACATGAGCCTGAGAAAGACAAAACATGCAGAAGAGGGTAGAAATTCAGACTAATGCTTCAGTGAAAAGTATTGAGAGATACATTAAGGGTCATAGAATTGATTCAAGTTCTCTTTCAGTATGTTCCACAAGATAATATACTTAAAAAAATTCTTCCACAAAATGTTCAAGTCTACCAAAATCTTAATAAAGATACCACAATAAACAAAGCTGATATTGTATTCTATTCATTTACTGTGAAAGGGTGTTTCAGAGTATTCAAATCACTGCAGAACAGTTTACTAAACATGACTTTATAATAATAATTAAAGCACTGATACTCAGGGAAGACTTGGTTTTTCTACTAGCTCAGCATGGTGATAAATGCTGTTTTTTTGCATGTGATATAGGAAGAAACATTTAAGAAAATAAAAATGATGCATAGCAAAAATTGGATCCTGGTAAGATCACCAAAAATAGAGTAATAAATGGAGGCTCACTGGAGCTGAGTTCTCTGTATCTAGGGCATGGACACTTGAGGGAAGGGTACACATCCCTGCACTGTGGATTGCCTTCTGGTCCATGTTAGGGGTTTCAAATCAGTGGCCCAATGTGGAATTCATTATATCCTCTAAAGTTTGTATTTTGGAAACAGAACATCTGATGAGATATTATTGATATATGGCACCCTTAATAGTTGATGGTCACCTGAATGTTTCCTCTCTTGAATGAAAGGAGGTTGTTAATATGAAAATAGGGGATTTATGACTAGGGTGGACATCTTATAAAACAAGATTCACTTGTACTTTCTATTACACACGTGATCACCTAGCATTCAACAATATATCATGCAGAAAAAGTGTTTCACTAGATTTTTTTGCTATGATCTTACCCTTTTTAGCCTTAGCATTGCAAAGAGCATATTTTCACTGTTTGTTAATTACCCTATGTGTGACATCCTGACATAAGAATGAATAATATATTGGAACACTCATAGCATTGGTTGGAATGATAAAACAAAGATTCCCATTCAGTATATCTGAGAAAGCAGCTGTGTTGTGAATAGGACTATGACAGCAGGTAGAAGTCGAGTTCCCAGAAACTCTCTAGGGAGGGATAATATAGTATAGAGTTAAATCTCCCAGATGAGGTAGACCATTCAGAAGACAGAGACTGGATATTTACCTGGGGACACACATGCAATTCAGTCTCTCCCAGCTATGTCAACTTGGCACGTTACTACATTTCTCTAGCTTCTGCTTTTATCAGGAAAACCAGGGACAAACAGAATGTACCTCAGAGGTTCCTTATGATGATTCATAAATCTAACATGCAAACAAGGTCCTAAATGTTGGAAATATTTACATTCTGAGTCTAGGATTACAGGGAATTGATTATAGGTATAGCCCAGTGACACTAGCACTAGAGGAATAATTCTGACCTTCAGCCCACATATCTTTTTTTTTTTTTTTTCTTGTCTTTTTCTTTTTTATTGGTACCGGGGATCAAACTCACGACTGCCTGCTTGCAAGGCAGGTGCTTATGCTGTTGAACTAAATTCCCAGCCCCCCCCCAGCCCATTTATCTTAAACCAGGTCATAAACATGGGAGAAGGGCAAGAAAAGTGAAACAGTCCCCCCTAAGATCTCATGGTTTGTTATGATTTCAACAAAGGAGATGATAAATGATGCCAAAGCTATGATAAAGTGTGATTCAGATACAAAAAAAAAAAAAAAAAACCACAAAACAAATAATGACACCAAAAAACCCAAAGGATAACTTCATTTACATAGTATAGCAACACTGGAATTTTTAACACTTCAGAAAGATACAGAGCTGGTAAAATAAGAAGATTTGGGTTTAAGATCCAATGGGGAGAAAAACTGGTTGAAAAAATGGTGAGTTTCACATATGGTGGCTGTGAGGAAGGAGTTATAAACCCTGGCATTGCAGCCTTGGGCCAAATGATGACTCAGGGGATTGTGATTCGTTCATGTTGCTGAATTTTTCTTAACTTGCATCTTATCTGTTATTGAGAGGAAGTACACAAAACTGTGATATGACTGTCACACTGCTGCATTTTGGGAGGAAAAACTTGTGTTCTTCTATTGCAGGAACAAAGACAGAGAGGATTTTGGCAGAAAAGAGTGTCAAGACAATGTCTTCCCTGTACTTGATTTAAATTATTTATATAAGTATACATGGGCATTGGAAGGGGAGACATTCATATCAATTTTTGAAATTAATGAAACTTTTCAAGTAATAATTCACTATCTACCATGAAAACTTTTTGGAAAGCTATCTTAGTTACTATTTTTGTTGCTGAGCTAAAATATCTGACATGAAAGTTAAAGGATAAAAGGTTTATTTAGCCCACAGTTTATAGAGGTTTCAGTCCATAGTCAGCTGCCTCCAAAACAGAATGGCATGGGAGAGGCCATGACAGATGTGAAGCAGTCCAAGTCATGGCAGGGCAGGCGGAAGGTAGCAAGCAGCAACAGAAACAGCAGCAGCCAGTCTCCCTCTCTCTTTTATCCTCTCTAGGTCACCAGCATTTTGGGTGGTGCCAGCCACACTCAGGATGGTCTTCTCTTATGCATCCCCCTAACCCAAGCATCTGTGGGAATCAGCACTAATAATGTATACATGAAGAAGTGCTTCCTTCCAGTCTGGAATGTAGTTTGTCCTGCTGGGTCTCCCGAATGGTCAGCTGCTAGTTAGGCTCTGAAGATGGAGCATAGCATTACTTGTGGGAGGCCATACCTTAGCAGCTGCAGGATGTGGGAGACATTTTCTGTGATGATTCCAAAGCTGTCCCTAACATCAGCTAAGCTGTCCGCAACACTATCAGCTCAAGTGAACTATCTTCTGAACTCCTTTCTCACAGAACACTTTTTGTTTCCTTTTAGCAAAGAATCCTTTTTCATTAGCTATTTAAGACAGTGTGCTGCTATAATAGAGTGGTCAGCAGCGCTTTCCTTATGTCAAGAGTCTTCTTTCTTTTCATGTGACATGAGTAATCAGAGATCATCACTGTCTTCCTCATACTGATTGGGGAAGCACCAACATTGATCAGCAAACTACATTGTGATTTTAATGTGACTCCAAGGTTACTCCAAGGTGATCTTCAATAGGAACACGAAGTAGGTGAGTATATTTGAAGAATTCCATATATTTGGAAACACCCTACTGAGAGAGTGTCTGTATTCATAAGGGTGGGCCAGAATTTGACCGGTGATCTAAAACTTTACTTTAAACGTTTACAGCAACTGCTCTGAGTTATTCATGTAATCATAACTCCAGCAGAGTTACAGATTCTTTTATATCTACTTGAAATTCTTGTTCTTGGTTTCCAGAGACAGGTAAAATACAAAATAGAAAAATAGTTTTTTTACATTTGCACTCTCTGCAATCATTTCAACTTGGAAAAGTTCAATCTGTCTTAATGCCATTACAGAGGAACTCAGAGTCATAAGCTCCTGCTTCAGATACACGAGAAAACAAAAATAAATATGTATATGAACAAAATAAAATACATAAGCCCAAAGTCACCTGGGCTCAGTTTGAGGAGGGAAAAGGGTAACAACTTCCTTTGCTA